AACTTTCATTCATTCCGTTGAAATGGGCAGTTCAGATGTTGTATGAAAATAATCTTGTGGCATTTGCTTATCTACAGTAGGTTCATTAATGAATATACTTGCAACTTAAGATAAAGTATGATAAAATTTGTTGACTTCATTTTTCTTTTTTTGGTATAACTTTGCTAAAATTTCATACAAGTGTCCATCGTTTTATCTTTTTAGAAAATTTAATATAGCTTTAATGGGGTATACTGTATTTGGGTATATTTTGGTGATAGGAAAATGAATATTTGGCTATGTTTGATTTTATCTTAGTGAATGTTTATATTGTAATTCATAATAAAAATAACACTTTTTGTTATAAAACATTTATTTTTAGTATATTTGGACATTATTTTTAGTATATTTGGCAATATTTGGGTATATTTGGGCAATATTTGGGTATATTTGGGTGTATTTGGGTATTTCGTGCTGCCCCTAATCTTATTGGTTTCAGTACCACCTGTCTTAGTATTTGAACCATTTCAGCACTCATTTATCACATTTTCTCATTATTGCTGGGCTTTAAGAATAGTCTTCTAGTGGCTCAAAATGCAAGGCACTGAATGCGGATAAACCAAGGTGTATTTACTCCAAGAATAAATTGACAGGGAAACATGATCTCTAAAACACAACCTTGAGAAATTTGATTACAACTGTGTTTCAGTCATTACAGTTGATGGTTAGGCATTGTTGTGCTTATTTTCTTGAAATAGTGATGTCAAAATGTTTTTACATAATCAACTGAAAGTAGAAACCTGATTTTATTCTTTCTTACATATTTCCCATGGTGTTTGTATAATTAAAAAAGTTAAAATAATTGCATTTTTGGCAAAATCTGTATTGCATAAAGTCTAGCCTTCTGTCTGTTTTCATAGGAGATGCTCTGCAAGGGAGAGTGTTTGTATGACTGCAGATGTCATGCCAATCTCACATGGAGTTACCTTACTGTGCCTCCAACATTGGACGACCAGATATTTGTGCCCATTGTGATGAGTCAGAAGCACAGAGAAATCCAGAACTGTTAACAAAGTTTAGGATTGTACTTCTAGTTTATGAGCAATGCATCAATGTCCACAAGAAAGACATTCCCCATAGATGTCCTATAAAAAATGAATACTGTGAACCTAAATTTGTTGGTATACTGTGGCTTAACTGTTTACTTGTCTGAAGTTGCTTAGTGTTTGAAGTTGTTTTTCTGGTTGTGTTACTAACTATTCATTTCAGTGAAAATAAAATGTAAGCAGACTATAAACTGTTGATGTATAATGATGCCTTTTGTTGTTCAGTAGTTATTTTGCATAATATATTCGTTTGTTTTAGTCATCCTCTCACATGTTGGGTGAATGTTTGAAATTTTGCTTTTGTTACATGTATTTTTAATAAAAAGAACTATACTTCTTGTATTGACTAATTGAAAGATATACAAACTGAAATAAAAAGTAAGATATATCAATTTTAAAAATTTTTATCCGCATTTTTATTAAACCGTTTTTTCCAACAAACAGAATCAAACCAAAAACATGTATGTTATATTTCCAAAAAAAAAAAAAAAAAAAAAATCCCTACCTACCTACCCAACTCTAAAAAGTAGGGTCGGGAGACAGCAAACAAAGACTTTTTTAAATGTGGCCTAACCTCCTATTGACTCTTAAGTGATTTTTTACAATTTCAGGAATGCATCTTTTCTCTCCTAGCTCAGTACAGTACTCTAAGACATTTTTGCAATTTCAAATTTGAATCATCTCATTTTTACCTCCAAAGGGGGCTCTTAAACTTTGGTACAAGTATCACACCAGTCGACTGTTTATAAGCCGATAGTGATTATCACACAAACATGATACCATATTATATATAAATACCCAATACTAACATACATTTATATCCTCAAGTACAGATATATTCATGCACAGATAAAAATGTAGATTAAATAAGTAAAGAACCCTCAATCAAGCCATTTATAGATAATACACATATGCTTGCTCATGTGGTTCAGTTAGGTGACAAAGGTAAATAAACCAAACATACATACATGGGAGTTAATTCATCATTAATGAGCATAAAATATTTCAATTATACAATCAATGACAGTATCAAAACAGTTACTCTGGCAAAGATGGACTAAAAATAAATTTTTATCAAATTTATGACCAGATTAGAAAAGTATATGACAAAAAAAAATAACATAACTTACATAAGTTAAAGTACAAAACCTACCATAGCTAGTTGCCTGCCTATGTTGCCAATAGTTACACCTCCTGAGAAAAATATAGAAGGCAGCCATGATCGTAAAAACATCAGGTCTGCTTTTGAATACCTGAAAAAGTAATATATATTTCTATTGTATACTGAAGGCAGAACAGAGTATCAGTTAATTAACTAGAGGATGCTTTTGTAAAAAAGCGCATGTCTCCCCCACTGCTGAGAATAACTGTGACTGGAAACAGGAATGGAAATGGAGATAAGATAATGTAAATACCCGGTAGTCACTTCAATGAAGGCTGTCTATGGATGGTTTCTATTGTTAAGGTTGTATGAGAAGATGCTTCCTAAACTGTTTGTTTTTAACCAGGTATTCAATTTTGAAAATCCTGGTTATTCAATCAGCGTATGGCAGGCGGGCGTCAAACGAAATTGCACTTGATGGTCATATCATATATAGTTTCACAAATGAAATTAAATGAAATTGTGTCTGCTCCATAATTCTTCAAACCTTTAAAGGATTTTGATGATACTTGAAACAAACGTTCATATTGTCAGATTTTTTTACACTATTGAAAGACAACTCAAATTACAATGTATGTAAAATCATGATAACTGTAGTGTGTTGGGATGACTCAACTCGTTTTCACAATGAAGCCTCTCTGGTAGATACTTGAAACAAAAATTCACCACATCCAGAGAACGTGTAGAGTACATGTTTCGTATGGCTGGTTCCAAGGTCAAGGTCTACTTGACACTTGAATGTCATATCATATATAGTTTCACAAACGAAATTAAAGGAAATTGTGTCTGCTCCATAACTCTTCAACCCTTTGAAGGATTTTGATGATACTTGAAACAAACGTTCATATTGTCAGATTTTTTACACTATTGAAAGACAACTCAAATTTCAATGTATGTCAAATCATGATAACTGTAGTGTGTTGGGATGACTCCACTCGTTTGACCTACTGACCCCAAAAACAATAGGGATCATCAGCTCTATAAGACCAATCATCCTATGAAGTTTGAGGGCTGTAGGTCAAAAGGAACTCTAAGTTATCATCCGGAAACGAGGAAATTGACCAACGGTCACTGTGACCTTGACCTTTGAACTACTGACCCCAAAAACAATAGGGATCATCTGCTCAATAAGACCATTCATCCTATGAAGTTTGAGAGCTGTAGGTCAAAAGGAACTGTAGTTATCGTCCGGAAACGAAGAATGGACGGACGGACTGACAGACTGACGGACGGACGGACAGGGCACAAACAATATGTCTCCCCCCAGTTTGAGGGTTGTAGGTCAAAAGGAACTCTAGTTATCATCCGGAAATGAGAAATTGACCAACGGTCACTGTGACCTTGACCTTTGACCTACTGACCCCAAAAAACAATAGGGATCATCTGCTCTATAAGACCAATCATCCTATGAAGTTTGAGGGCTGTAGGTCAAAAGGAACTCTAGTTATCATCCGGAAACGAGAAATTGACCAACGGTCACTGTGACCTTGACCTTTGAACTACTGACCCCAAAAACAATAGGGATCATCTGCTCAATAAGACCAATCATCCTATGAAGTTTGAGGTCTGTAGGTTTAAAGGAACTGTAGTTATCATCCGGAAACGAGAAATTGACCAACGGTCAGTGTGACCTTGACCTTTGACCTACTGACCCCAAAAACAATAGGGATCATCAGCTCTATTATAAGACCAATCATCCTATGAAGTTTGAGGGCTGTAGGTCAAAAGGAACTCTAGTTATCATCCGGAAACGAGAAATTGACCAACGGTCACTGTGACCTTGACCTTTGAACTACTGACCCCAAAAACAATAGGGATCATCTGCTCAATAAGACCATTCATCCTATGAAGTTTGAGAGCTGTAGGTCAAAAGGAACTCTAGTTATCGTCCGGAAACGAAGAATGGACGGACGGACGTACTGTGGGGTACCTGTGCGACCAGGCTGCTTGTGTGATGACAAAAATGTTCTTGTGTGACTGATCAAAATTTGTTCGCACGAAACCTTACTTACAAGACAGTCACAGAAGCTTATCAACTAACAGTCACACAAGTATGCAAAGGAATGTCCAAAACGGCCAGTGCTAATAGGGTTCACTTGTGTGACCGTGTTACCTGTGTGATGGCAAAACTTTTAAATAATGCTTTGAAAAACAGTATTTTGCTCCACTTCTTAATTCATTCACTTTTGAGTATTTTGATAATCATTTTACACGTAGTTACTTGCCGTCCTGGTTGATTTCTCTTTTGCTAAAATATGTCCAAAAAGATCAGAGCTACTGGGGTGTATCTCTGTTATGACAAAACTGTTCTTGTGTGACTGATGAAAATATGTTTGCAAACCTTACTTACAAGACAGTCACAGAAGCATGATCAACTTAGAGTCACACAAGTACGTAAAAGTATGTCCAAAAAGGCCAGAGCTAATGGGGTGGACCTGTGTGACTGATCAAAATATGTTGGCAAGAAACCTTACTTACCAGACAGTATACATGTACTTTATGTTCACAAGACTAGTGCTTTGAAAAACTATTATTTTTGCTCCACTTTTTAAGTCTTTCACTTTGTGTTTTTTTTATAAACATTTTAGTTACCTGCCGTCCAGGTTGATTTCTCTTTTGTTACAGTGCCAGTGATATTATTTATATCAAGTCAAAACCTTGATTCTATTCAGGGTCTATCAAAATAGATAGACCCTGATTCTAGTTTGAGGACTTACAACTTTATCATAAGGGGTTAACATTAACAAACACACTTGAACCTTTAACTCTTTAATGTATACTTCTACATTTTAAAAAAGAACAATACAGAGTCAAGGACTAATACTGACAGTGTTCGACACTAACAGGGTCCCGGGATCCCTAGGACACCAAAAATTGGGGACACCAAAACTCACAGGTTGGGTGTTCCGTTGGGACTTTTGATTTTCTAGGTAAAGTAAAGCAAAAAGCTTCAATATTTTACCTTTTACATTTCCATCTAAGCGTAAAACTACCTTCAAATAATCAATAAATAAAACGAAACATTAAAAGGTAAATAAATCTAAAATCATGTGCTTAATTTTAACTCAAAACGTTATCATTTTTAAACTGAAATAAATTTGAATGTTTCGGCTTTATACTCAATAGCTAATATCGCCGAACATTCCAAATATATCCAGAAACGGTAATATGTCACATATTTTCGCGATCCGAGAAAAATACGATTTTTGTCTTACTTCGAAAAATGTGGAGATTTATAGAAGGTGCAAGTGACCCTCCAGCTACAAAAAGCAAAAACTAAAGAAGAACATCTTCAAACTCAAAGGCAGTATGAAAACAAGAGGGCCAAGATGGCCCTAGATTAGATTGCTCACCTGAGGTTGGTTTGAACAAGTAGGGGTTTGTATTGGTCAGATTTACTAAACCTCAAATTTTCCACTTTAATCACATCTTCCACTATAGATACAACCTGTATGCATTTATCATGTGTCAAAAATAAACTTAATAAAATATTTTTATTTAAATGTCTATTTTCAGGCTTTTGTTTCCACAGAACAATTTCAATTTGTTCAACAGATTAAAAGAATTGACTTTCATAATGAATAGATTCCAATAATAACCATTTTTGTTTACAAACAATGCCCTTTAATATTTTACGGCCAGCATCATCAGTTGTAGTATAAATTCAAAGGCTCAATTTTTTATCTTTGTGAACTCCTTTTGACCTCAAATGACCCATGTTCAGACTTTTTCAAGAAATCAATCAAACATTCTGACCAATTTTCATGACATCTGACGCAAAAATGCAATCTCTAGAGTGTTTTCAAGCTTTTTCCTAATATGGGCATTGCGACCTAGTTTTTGACCCAAGATGACCCATCTTCAAACTTGTCCAAGAAATCAATATGACAAACATTCTGACCAAATTACATGACATTTGAGGCAAATATGAAACTTCTAGAGTGTTAACAAGCTTTTTCCATATTTGGGCATTGCGACCAAGTTTTTGATCCAAGATGACCCATGTTAAAACTTGTTAAATAAATCATTAGGACAAACATTCTTACTAATTTTCATGACATTTGAGACAAAAATGCAAGCTCTAAAGTGTTTACAAGATTTTTCCATATATGGGCATTGCGACCTAGTTTTTGACTCGTGATGACCCATGTTCAAACTTGTCCAAATAATCACTAAGATAAACATTTTGACAAATTTTCATGACATATGAGGCAAAAATGCAACCTCTAGTGTTTACAAGCTTTTTCCATAATTGGGCATTGCGACCTAGTTTTTGACCCCAGATGACCCATGATCGAACAAATACAAGAAAAATTCTTACTAATTTTCATGACATCTGAGGCAAAAATGCAACCCTTTAGAGTGTTTTCAAGCTTTTTCCTTATATGGGCATTGCGACCTAGTTTTTTACCCAAGATGACCCATCTTCGAACTTGTCCAAGAAATCAATATGACAAACATTCTGACCAAATTACATGACATCTGAGGCAAAAATGCAACCCTTTAGAGTGTTAACAAGCTTTTTTCCCTATTTGGGCATTACGACCTAGTTTTTACCCCCATGACCCATGTTCGAACTCGTCCAAAATCATTAGGACAAACATTCTGACAAAGTTTCATGAGAATTGAGACAAAAATGCAACCTCTCGAGTGTTAACGAGGTAAGTGTGGACGGACGACGGACAATGATCGATCCTAATAGCTCTGCCTGAGCATGCTCAGGCGAGCTAAAAAGAGAGAAAAAGAACTTTCCAAGAGTCGTGGAAAAAGGACTTTGAATGGTCAAAATGTGAAGGAGATACAATAGGTATGACTTGCAGTGTACATGTATGTTCAAAGTATGACACTGTTCAGTTATTACAACAAAAATCATATAAACTCCTTGTTTCTTTGTTGTAGAAAAAAATATATTAAATAAATTGGGTCTAAAACATTATCATGATGTTTAATTCATCATTTTACCATTATGTCATTTTCATGAAGTCCAAATTCAGGGATTCCTAGATTTTAGAAGGGACTCCTTGAATATGTAGAAGGTGTTCCTTCAGGAATGTTACAATCTGGATAAAAGTTGATGATTATTTTTTCACAGTCAGTACAAGAAAATTAATAACGGACTGTCTGCCTTACCCCCTTTTTGTAGAGTTGGGTGGATGAGGGGTTAAAGTATTTTATCAAATTACAAATTAACAATCTGTAAAGAAACAAACTCAAGTAGGAAACAGAACTGTGGAACATTTATGTTAATTTTTTTTTGAATGGTTCATGTTTGATATTTTTTTAACAATCAAATTCCAAGAACGCTTGTGGAGCTCGCCACCATGCTTATAGCTTAATTCTTTTGCTCTTAAGCAGTCATGTCTCCTTGGGGCAATTTTTTGTTGCAAATGCTTTGAGAAATATTTTTCTAATTCTTCAATTTCTTTAGAAGACCACTTTTGCCTTGTTGATTTTTGGCCTTTTTTCCTATGGGTTTTCTTCATACCAAAGTCATTGGTGTAATTTGGTGCACTAGTAGACAGTTCTATTTCATCATTGCTCATCTCAGCCATTTCATTATTGTCCATTTCAAGAACTTCATGATTGTCTGTATCAGGAACTTCAGCATTTGAATCTCCAACAGATTTATCATAGATGATGTCACTGAAATTAACTTCATCTAATGACTTCCCAACAAACTGGGATTGGATGTTCAGGTCCTGCATCATCAGAACCTTTCCTAATGTCACTCTTTCAATATATGGACTCATTGTGCGGTAATGATTTAAATGTACTTTAGTTGAGTGGCCCAGATGACGACACATATGGTGGAGTTCTGAGTCTGATAGATTCATGACCTAGAAAATAAATAAAATAATTGTAAAATAAATCCTGATAAAAACAGCTACAAAAAATTAAACTGAATGCTTTTTCCATCTCTTGTAAATTATTTTGATTTTCCATTTTCTGTTACCAACAAGAGCACTAATCAATGCAAAATACGCTTGTTTAGAATGAAGGAAACATGATTTAATTTAAGAAGTAGAGGATAGAAGTACAGCCAATGGAGTTATTGCAAAGCACATAGTATTTATAATAAGTATAGTAAGAATTGATTAACAGTTTAACAAAATTATCAATTGCATTCCATATGGCTGTACAAGAATACAATGTCTTACATCAAAAACTGTGATTTGCCAGTTTTACTATCTAATCAAAATCTATATCTGTTTAAATGATTTTTTTCATCAAAGACAGTGAAAAAGAATCAATCAGATAAGTTAATGAACAACAAAAAAATAATAGAAATTTCACAAGTCGTGATTTAATAAGCAAGCTGGAAACATGATGCTTTGAAAAACATACATAACACTGACATTCATTATAATGTTATAATTAGTGTGTAGTATAGCAACATTTGACTCTACAAACCATTTGTCAGCAAACAACCAGATTCATCATAATGAAAGTTCACTACAATAACAAAAATTAAAATTTAATATATACATATATACCTGAGCCAGGGTGGCCATGTACTTCCTCATTTTAGTAGAGGTAATATCCTGAGGTCTGCTAAGACCTGCACTCTCACACATTTTCCGAAGGCTATCATAAGCTCTTATTGGATTTCCATCTGAAAAGCATATAAAATATTGAAGAATAATAAATCAAAGAATGATGAATAAATCTCAAGGATCACTCTTAGTTTTCAGTAATTAGATTAATTACCAGAATCAAATGACATACAAAAGTTACCTACATTCTGACCCCACAAGATTCATATTTAAGCTTGACCCAGAACTTTTTTTTTATATTTTTCTCAAGTCTATAAGTATATTTGGCTACCAAGAACTTACTAGTGTTAGATGCAAACAGGTAAGAAGTTTGGATATTAAGTTTTTGTCGTAGTTCTGCATCAGCCAGAAAATCCATTACTGCCTTGCACTCAACTGGTATTAAGACTGGTACAATGCCACCACGCTGAAAATTGAGTAAAAGTTCTTAGATGAGCCATTTTTTTACATTTGAAGAGTGAATAAAATTCATTTAAATTGATTTAATAAATAATTTATATATAAATTGATTGCATATGCATATAAAACAGCAATTTCACTAGGTTCAACACATTTAATTCTTTAATGAATTCCATCTACTTAGGAATAACTAAATCTTACATTATTTTTGCCTAATGTAGCAACCCTGATAAGCCATCAATTTATCAGATAACCACCTGGAAAATCTAAGAAATACAGAAAAATTCACACCCTCTGTAATTTTGTATCATCATAACTTTCTTATTATCAATTTCATCTTCACATAAATTACACCAAATTAAAGCTTATAAAATTATCTATAAGCATGTGTAAATTTGATTGACATGTCATAATTATTAACTTTATTGTGTTTATTCAAAATTGTTAAACATGTGATAATATCGGCCGGACTCGTTGTATCAACTTCTGAGGCACTGCTCTGGACCCCTACTAGTTTCATGAGGGAATGCAAGGCCCAGAAGTTTTTGAATATTAATGAGCTAATATTATTTTAATTTTCCAATCAATGATTTCATGTCGATGCTCAAAAAGTTTGCATACGATAATCCTAAGCTTAGATATAATTCCGCAAAGTTGACTGGCCGTAAAATTTTCATTACGCAAAAAAATCACATTTTTGCTCGGTTTCTAAAACCTCAACATCTCAGCTTTATTTGTGACGGTACAGTAAAAAAAAACAGTGACTTGTATAAAGTGTAATAATGAATTCAAAGCAGGAGCAGGATATACTCAACACATCAAAACTTGTAAAAGTATCAATCATCAAAAGGAGGCAAAAAAAGAAAATAAAAAGCTTACAAAGACTAGAAAAAGAATTAGACAATGCATTGAATCTTCTGATAGCGAAACTGAAAAAGAAAACAAGCCAGCAACACCTAAAGTTAGTAAGTCTGGAAACAAGTCTAATGGTAGAAAAAAAAGACACCAAAAAAAAAAAAAAAATCAAAACAAAAGTGAGAACGACCAGGAAATGGTGTCCTGTCTAAGTAGTTTAGGGGTAAACCAGTCAGTAATAACGGGGTATCCAACGTCAATAAATGGGGGAAAGGTAGTCATAGTGATGACGTAACTTAAATTAAGTGTAAACAAGTTTAAAAAAGGGTATATAAGGAGTGCAACTTGAAATAACCGTCATTTACAAGGAAGCTTTCGTACCGTACGGATCTACGCTCGTTAATACAGATAATATTTATTCTGCATTAAATTACGTTTGGAGAAATAGGCAACAAATTCGAAATTGGATTGCAAATGAGCCTTACGATCATAGGGAGACACATCGATACACTTACCAAAACCTACCTCGAAATTACAGAACGAAATACCAAAATAGAGGAAAAATGGCACCAACTCAGAAGAGAAGACTTTCAAATCCGGGAAACTACTATCCATACCTTGCGAAACGAGGTAGATACTCTAAAAACACGTCTTACGCAACTAGAAGAGTCTATGGCAAAGGTAGGAGGAAAAATAGACGATATAGCAGATATGGTAAAGGAAAGAAATGGTTCTACCCGAAGAAGAAGATCAAGACGACGATGGGAACGAGAAAGTATGTCACCAGCGGGTTTAAAATATACATACAGACCAGTATATGACAGTCAAAACAACGGATGGGTTGAGTACTATAATCCAGACAACAACTATGGAAGTATTGATGGCTTTCTTCAATCTTTGAACACAGAGGATCCAGTTAAGACTTTTAGAGAGAAGACAGACTTGAAGAGATCTTACAGAGTAGCTACAAATGACATCAATAACGTAACAGAGAAATACTTTGAACCAACATTGTATATGAGCATCAATGAAGGATATTGTGGAGACTTATTCAGTAACGGACAGGATGTTAACAAAAGAGCAGTTGGAATAGAAAGTGTGAGAATCTGCGTAGAATACGACAAGACACTGACTTGTTATTTTAGACATAAATCACCAAGAGGAAATGAAGCCACAGAAAAACCGCATTAGAAGACAAACTGTATGTTTTTGTTTTTTTAAGTTTAGAAATTTGATTGAAATGACTTGTGAGTTAATAAAGTTGATCAAAATATAAAATCTTTGTCCTTAGTTACAATGTCCAACTAAACACTTAGCAATTAAAACTACAATTTTAGTATAAAATTAAAGCGGAATGAAGAGTAGCGTCCGACAGTAAAAAGGTGGTGATTAGGGCGGAAGGTGGGAGACCTTCTCTGACCAATAGGTCTATTAAGCTTTAGGCCAGGGGTCCTAAAGTAGATCATTGCTCGTTCCGTGCTAGCCATGCTAGGATAATATAACAAAGAAAATGTGTCCAGACTTGTGTGGCTGTCGCAGAAGCAAATGTGTCCATGCTATGGACAAAATGTTAATGATAGCTTGTGTGGCTGTCACAGAAGCAAATGTGTCCATGCTATGGACAAAATGTTAATGATAGCTTGTGTGGCTGTCACAGAAGCAAATGTGTCCATGCTATGGACAAAATGATAATGATAGCTTGTGTGACTGTCACAGAAGCAAATTGTCCAGAATTGTGTGACTGTACAGTAATGACGTAATTAATGACGTTATACAGTCACAGAAGCAAATGTGTCCAAAAATGACTTGTGTGACTATAATGACGTAATTAATGACGTAATACACACGCTATGACAATTTAGTACTCAGAAATGGATAAACAAGATGAGGACACGTTTTTTCTCAGTGCATTATTCCTTGCAATAACTGCATCGCATTTACATTTGAAATATGGCACTCCACGTTTCTTGATCGGCCGTCGAAAAAAATGACCGCTCAGATCAGCAGCTCAGACTTTTGATCTTTACACCAATAAACACAAGTTTAAATTGCAAATAAAGTTTGACATAATGGATAAAAAAATAATTTGTAGTCTTTAAAATTTGTTTTATCCGTGTTTTAATTAATTTCGAGCGGTTATGTTACGTAAAAATTCATAACATTTTTTCGCTCACTGCAATGCATGGAAAACAAAAAAAATCGTAAAAGCATTCGACCAATTTCAGTCAGGTATGTTAAAACAAGAGGCAACTGTGACTTAAAAAAGAAATTATAATACAGTCATTCATAATACTTGTTTTAATTCAAAAGAAATCGCTGATTTTACTGTTATTTTGTTACGAAACTCGCCACACTTTTTAGCGGGAATTTTCGTACCCAATCTAATTTCGAGTCAACTTTTTAAAATTTCTATTGCAAAATTAATACTTATGTTTTTTTTTTTGGTGAGATTTTAAAAATAATTTTAATAATTCATGATATTTCATGAAGTTAATACTAGATCATTGAACTCTACTTTTCATTACTTTGACTGACATTAAACATCTGGAAAAGTAAAATTTGGCTACAGGTTATTATGTTGCATTATAGTTAAGTGCTTGGAAAAAAAACTTATGCAGATGAAAATAAACTTAGTTCATAAATATATAAAATTCCAGCACTTCTAAGTACCAATACCACTTAAATTTGAGTGATGAAAAAAATCTGTAACTTTCATGTATGTCAGCCTGAATTATTTTTTATTAAAATATCTCTTTCTTGAAACTGCTATCTTTCTTATGTGAAATTTATTGATGTCATAAATTGTCCCTATGAAATGACAAGACATTGTAATTTCATGTTAAATTTCTTTAACTACAGCAAAATGTACATGCTATTTTTAAAAATGTTTGTCTTTATTAGATTCTACAGGAAAAACTATAAGAGAGTGGGAAATTTCATGCAAATATCTTAATCAGTACTCAAGTTATTGCTATTTGTATACAATTTAACAATTATCTGGTGCTGTGATTTCGCGATTTACCATATGTAAGATTTTAGTCACTTTCTGCGAATTTCAAAAGTTAATAACTTTTGCCATTTTTAAAGATATTAAAATGAAACAGTTTTGGAAAGCTTATTTTATTTAGAATTTTTAAATATGGTCAGAAGTAAATCAATCCACTTTAAAAAAATCATCAGGGTTGCTACTTAATGTAATCTACCGTTTTTTTTTCCATATATTTTCAAGTATGTTAGGTTTTGTACAGAAAAAGCATGTGATCAGTTTGGTGAAGATTTGATTTGTTCTCACTATATCAAACAGGTTCAATTTTTTAATTACTTGATGTGGTATTCCACTGGACATGACATAATAATATATTTTGCCAAGATTATTTTCAAGAAATCATATACTGAAAGATATACATTAGTTATGGAAAAGGATGGATAGTGTCACTGGTTCCTAAACAGAAAATCAATACTTATCTCTGAAATATACAAAGACTTGTTCTGAGTAAGTTGTCATTTCCCCAACAAATACTTAACATTGTCTCATGACAAAAGATAAAATCCAAATATCATCATTTTACTAAAAGTAACTTACCTTTCCTCGTGTTTGTATAAGATCATGGGTTTGTATGAGGTATTTTTCGGTTTCTGAAACCTCTCCCATGAGACCTTCATCGATGTCACTGATGCTTAATTTCCGCAAGTAGTTTTGCACCCTAGAAAATACAATATTGAAAATAGGAGTGCAATGGTTCACCTTACTTTTTTTTTTCAAACATTAACCTTTGGTTCAATTTCCCATATCTCCAAAACGAAT